TCGGATCAACCCGCGCATCACTGGTGCACGTAGCTGTTAACAAAAAAACTATATAAATACTGTTCGTTTTCTCACACAAACTGCTCGTTTCGTGTCTTAGGCCACCAGTGTACATTCACGAGTCATTAAATCATGTTTAATTTGGACTTCTCCGTGCATGCTCTTTGAGGTGGACCCCCTAAAACTCCATTATATAGACCAACGCCACTTTTGCGTCATCGAAGGGTAACGCCCCCTTTTGGGGGAAAACACCTCTATACTGTCAATGGGAAAACAAACGGATTCCCATGAGAACAGAACTCGCACTAGATCTGCAAAGTTTCTTGATAGCAAAAATGGCACAAACTTAAAGAAGCTAACGTTACTGAATACGGGGTTACAGAGGTTTCCCTTTGAAATGGTCGAAAACTGGATTAATGACCCCACACAGCGGCCAAATATGGACTATTCAGACATCTAACGTTACCACTATCTCGTGGAATCACCAAGTAAGTAGCCTTTTTTATTTATTTATCATTTACACACTCACAGTAGCCTATTACAAACTACTAGACGATGAGGCTATGTCACTTGGATCATATTTAACTTGATTTAAGCTATTGACAGTTTTGTTGTCGACTAGCTATTAGAAAGACTAGCTGTTAGCAGCTAACGTTACCTTATTAGACTATGTCAATAGCTTAAATCAAGTTAAATATGATCCATTCATCGTCTAGTTTGTCATACTGTGAGTGTTAATGAAAAAAAGGCTACTTACTTGGTGATTCCACGAGATAGTGGTAACGTTAGATGTCTGAATAGTCCATATTTGGCCGCTGTGTGGGGTCATTAATCCAGTTTTCGACCATTTCAAAGGGACACCTCTGTAACCCCGTATTCAGTAACGTTAGCTTCTATAAGTTTGTGCCATTTTTGCTATCAAGAAACTTTGCAGATCTAGTGCGAGTTCTGTTCTCATGGGAATCCGTTTGTTTTCCCATAGACAGTATAGAGGTGTTTTCCCCCAAAAGGGGGCGTTACCCTTCGATGACGCAAAAGTAGCGTTGGTCTATGACTGATAGACAATTGACTGAAAAATGTCAAAATTGAAAACATCTTGGATGCCCTTGAGGTAAGCTAAAACATAAAAAAAATTAATTTCAAAGTGAACTATCCCTTTAAGGCTCGAACAGGACCTTTCTGAATGGTTGGTTCACTTTGATATATCTTTGTATGCACTGGCAGGGTAGAGTGTGATACGAACGCTAACTTATGGTAAATTGACTGCATTTATATAACGCTTTCACAGACCTAATGGCCACCAAAGCGCTTTACATATTGCCTCACATTCACACACTCATTCATACACTGACGGCGGTGTCAGCCATACAAGGCGCCATCCAGCTCGTCGAGAGCAGCTGGGGTTAAGTGTCTGGACACCTCGATACTTGGTCAGGTGGAACCGGGGATTGAACCACCAACCTTTCGATTTGTAGACAACCTACATCAACCACTGAGCCACTGCCAACCCAGTAAACTTATGTGTTTACTGATGTAAAGGGTAGTTGGTTGAAAGATTTTTTTCACGATTTTCAAAGATTAATATAAAGCTAATTTCTTCTGGAGGTGCAGAGGGAACATAAATAGTTGGTATGTGGAAAATCACATAACCCATCGCACTGTCAGAGAGTTTATCATAACATACGTACATAAAACATGATATCAGAGTTTAAAAATTAGAGTTTTAAAATCAAACATTTTTAAAACAGAACATCGGTTGTTTGAACCAATGAGCATTAAGCTGTGTCGTCAGCAAGTCGTTTCCCATCATGCTTTTGATCAGCGCAGTTGGTGAAGCTGCGAGCGACTGCATAATCCAACATGTGCGCCTTGCGGTCGCGAGAGTTTTTTGACATCCATCGTCAGCATGACATCCGAGCAAGGCAGACCGCACTCAGACACATTTCTAACCAGCATGCATCTTGTGGTAAAGGTTTAGCCTGGGTGTGATGGAAGAAGACAAGGGTCGGAGTATCTGCACTTTTATTTGATTTACAAATGGTACAGGAGAATGCGCTGTGCGCGCTGTAACATAAACTCTACTCACGTTCAGAGAATACTCTTTCCACCATATAAAAATTATACTCTTTCCACTATATAAAATACAATTCACTCAATCAAGTTCAAGTTCAAGTTTAAGTTGAAGATCTTTATTTGTCCCCGAGGGGCGATTAGTTTTGCAACAGTAGCCAAATAAATTAACATGCATAGACCTTATTCAGAGCAGCGCCATGACAGGTGTGATAGTGAGGCTGTGAGGGATAGACTTACCGTGTTTCCAATGGCATCCGCTGTAAAAAGCTGAATAAAGCTCCTAGATTACTTACAATTTTCCACAACTTACATTGTCAGGAGTTTTTTGTCAACTGAAATTTCTTAGAAAGATATTTTTCCAGTGTTTCATGAGCAGAACAATCCGAAAACACATTAAATAACAATACAGCCCATTGAAGAGATGCAAGTCTATCCCTCACAGCCTCGCTTTCATTCTCATTAAAAATCAAAGATGGCGCTGCCGTGAATAAGGCATATTACACGACAACATCAACAACAGTTAAAAATTAAAAAGTTAAAAACATTTAACATTTAAATACAAGTATTGTCAATGTGCAGACAGACATTCCCAGACAGCAAACTGACATTGAATCAATGTGGAAACGACGTCTCTCATGACATTGAAACAACGTTGATTTGCTCATCGAATTAACGTTGAACCAACGTCAGACGCGGCATTCTTCAAAGCTAAATGAAATCGAAAATTAGTTTGCTTTCATAACGTTAAACAAAGCGTTGATTTCAAGTTGATTTTCCGTTAGTTTTGAAAGAATGACGCATCTGACGTTGGTTCAACGTTAAATCGATGAGCAAAACAATGTCAGATCAACGTTGTTTCGATGTCATATTTCCACGTTGATTCAATGTCAGTTTGCTATCTGGGATTACCTATTCTTTACAGAGTTAAGCAGAGAGATCGCAGAGGGAACAAAGGAGAATTTAAATCTATTAGTTTTGGCTGGTGGCTGGCTAAAGCGAGAACCAGAAGGCAGCAACTTAAATTCTACGTACAAGGGATGAGAACTATCAGACATGATAGATTCAGCCTTTTTAAGTACATGTCTATTGTATAGTTCAGATAGTTTTGTCTGCTGAATCCCGATGATTTTACTGCAATCCGCTGTGACGTTCAGCTCGTGTGTTGTGCACGCGATCCCAGTCCTTCGCTCCCCGCTCTCTCACCCAAGCTAGCTTTTATGCTGTCTCTACACACCAAATACTGCAATCAGAGACATGTGTTCATCATTTTGCACTTGAGCTACTTACTCACTGTACGGCTTCATCCTCGCTCTCCCGCTACAGACTTCGCTGAACCTCGCCCCCCTCGCCACGTACCCCCACCTGCACAACTCAGGCCTGGGAGCTGTCCGGCCTACAGTCATTCTGTCCATCAGGCGCTGGAAGGTTGCTGGAGCCCTGAACAAGCCGAAATGAAGAGTAACAAATTGGTGTAACCCAATTGACGTTGTGAAAGCAGTTTTTTCTTTAGATATTGTAAATAAGGAGATCTTCCAATATCCTTTTGTCAAATCCAGTGTCGAATAAAATCGAGCGGTACCGAGCCGATCAAGTAGTTTGTCAACCCTCGGCATTGGATACGCATCGAAATTCGAAACGACATTCACCTTGCGATAATCCACACAGAACCGGACTGAGCAGTCGGTTTTAGACACTAAGACTATCAGGCTTGCCCAGTCACTGTTGGATTCTTCTATTACCCCATGTCCAGCATAGCCTCTAATTAATTCTGAACTGTTTTCTTTTTGGTTCAGGTAAACTATTCAGCCGGCTGCGTACCATTATGCCCGGTTCGGTCTCAACATGGTGCTGAATGAGATTTGTCCGACCAGGTAGGTAAGGGTGAGAACACATCAGAAAACGCTTACAAATGTCAGTGATTTGGAACGGCGAGAGGTGGTCTCCTCCATCTGCCAGAGCGAGAGATTGGGACTTTAAGCTCGCCTCTGGACCGAGATCCTCCTCCCCACTCACCACCATTGCCAATATCACTGCCTCATTCCAGTTTTTAAGGAGGTTGAGGTGGTAGATTTGATGTGCCCCGCACCTATCTGATCGGGTAATCTCATAGTTGAGATCCCCAACTCGCCGTGTGACCACAAATGGCCCTTGCCACTTTGTGAGTAGTAATTTAGAGCTGAATGTGGGGAGTAATACAAGTACTTTATCTCCCAGTGCAAATTTGCATGGTCTAGCCCCCCTGATGTAAAGCCGACTTTGCTTGTCCTGGGCCTGTAACAAATTCTCCCCAGAGAGCCGCCCCAAAGTGGAGTTTTGTTCTTAATTCTTAATCTTAATTTGGACTTCTCTGTGCATGCTCTTTGATGTGGACCCCATATGCCTCCATTATATGACTGACAGACAAGAACGGTTTGACCTAAAAATATCAAAATTTAAAATACTGTGGAAACCAAGACACCTACATCTTGGATGTGCTTGAGGTAAGCTAAAACATATCAACCATTAATTTCAAAGTGAACTATCGCTTTAAATGCACAAAAAGAGATTCACAAATGTGTACAGACTGCAGTGATTTAGAAATGCACAGAAAGCGGTTTTATATATATGTTGCAAACATTATATTTATTTGTGAGTTCTATAGATTTTTGTAGAACTCATTTATTTGTGGATCTTAATCTATTTATTTGTGAATTTGATACATTTTTGTGAATCTCTTTACATTTGTTTGTGAATCTCGTCTATGGAATAATGCAAGAATTCTACCCCCATACGCGTCAAATGATTTGAGGCACTGAGAAGAATCAAATCCCACAGTCCTCAGACCCTCCTTCGGTGGGAGGAGCCAAACACAATTGGTCCTATCATGATGTTGCGCACATGGCAAGCGCCACACCCAGCTGTGCCTGAACTGTTCGCAGGGACTCACTTGTATAATAGGGCAACCAGTGGCACGGAGCGCATGCTGGTGTTGTGCCTCCCCTCATGTCCCAATATAGCAATAACAGCAGAAGGCGGCCGTGCATTGACAAGTCGAGAGCCTTTTACTGTTCTTATAACTCTAGCGCTCACCAAAGTAAACACTGATAAATTGTAATGTTCCATCAGCCTGTTAAAAATGGGCTTGTTTTTATATATCGCTGGATCTGCCATCCCCACCGAGGCCAGTGTCAATGAGGTGAGAAAAAATAATTGAACTTTGCTGGTTGTTTGTGTCGGTGTACTGGGCTCTGAATGGCACTGCCACTTGTTGACTCGCCGGTTTAAAATAATGTTATCCTCACTTTGTAGCGCATGTTAAAAAGTTTGTGTTAGTAACACTGTCCACTCGTCGTTTTATTTATTTTGCAATCTGATAGCCTATCTGTTTTTTACGAGAATTGCGTGCTGCTAAGTCTTGCGTCAAGCCACGGAAGTGTGGAACTGTGAACAAATCCTATTTGGCTGCTGTTTGCTTGACACCATTTTGGACATAACGTAATGTGATGGCCAAAATGCTGTCTAGGTAGACACCTCCATATGTTTTGGAGACACGGCCTAAACCCGGACCAGATTCAGTAAACAAATGTCTGCAGTGTTAGCAGTGGCTAACAATTCAAATGTCACAGTTTTCGATGCTTTTATTGGGGCGTTTATAGCTGATTTGAACTAACACATACTATAACGTTAGTTGTCAATCACCAGTTGTGTTGAGAATATAAATTATTCTATGACCATGTAGTGTAACTCGATTTAACAATTAGCCTAAATTGAATTAAGTCATTAATCTGTAAATTTGTCTAGCACACGTGACGTCTTTCTCCTTTACAAAGGTCTGGATTTTGTTATCGCTGTTGAAGATAGTGCTGAGCCCATTGGCTGTAGTGAATTTATCACTAAAATGTGCTGAGTAAAATGTTCTGAGTGTTTTTTTTTTTTTTTCCCTTCTTGGCCTGGGAAGAGGGATCCTTCTGTAGCCTATCTTTCTGATCAGAGTACAAGGCTCGTCATGTACAGTAAAGAAGTGCACAAACATACATCACGTTATATTCAAATGTATGAATTGTAAACTGGTAGCATAAAATCTGTCAATTAGTGTAAAACGTCCCCAAATACCTTCAGTATTGTTCTAAAAAAAATAAAGGTTACATTTTTTTGTTGTCTGGTCACCTTGATAACTTACAAATGTGCTAAAATCCACATAGTAGAATATGTTTGTGCGAGTGGACATTTTTCTGATTATTTTTGAAGTAATTTTCTGCAAGTTGTGATGTTATTCACATTTTATATAGAAGGCTAAACAGAATATTAGAGTTTACCTTGCATTTACAGTATACATAAAAAATAGACTGCAATAGGTAAAAAAAAAACAAACAAACAAAAACAATGCCAGGACCAGGCTGCTTTTGCTTTGATGGTTCTGAACGTTTTCGGGATGAGATTTGTTCCTAAATGACATGAGCAGGTTCTAAAACAAGAGGGTAGGGTAAAACGTTTTAAAGAAACCTGTGCATGAACCCCGTTGTAATTGGTGTAACTTGCAGGGGTGTGGCTTGTTGTACTGCGAGACACAGACAGACCCTTCTCATAGAATTAAGTGAGTGTGAATTACCAGAATTACCAGACCCAAAAATTTACCAGAAGAAATTGTTGGCTCTGGGAACAATTTCATTCAGAAATGGACCTTCCATCAAACTCAACTCTGGTGCGGTTTGACTGAAATAAGAACGCAGCATGGACCGAAGACGCCTAATGGAACCAAAAAGAAAAAAGAAAAAAAAATTAATTAATTAAACAATTTAATAATCAATAAAAAAAAATTATTTATACCTGTATGATATTTCTCTGTACATTGGACGGTGGATAGATGGATAGATGAATGATTCAGCTGCTGGCGCCATCTTCGGGCGAGGCGGGAATTAATTTAGCTCGACCCTCACAGTGCATTATGGGTATTTTGTAGCTGTTGAGTGTACATCAGTTGTACACTTGTAATTGTAGTGAACTATGGGATTGAATGAGTGAGTGCACTCAATAATGTCCACTTTGGTTTCGGACGTTGCTAAAATGGCGGTCCCCTAAATTTGTGCCGTACTTAAGTGTAGGGGGTGATTTCGGACATAGCCCTAGTTTTTCTCAGCATGAGATCTACATTGCCCATTACAGTTCAGTAGACGTGAAAACGCTGTCTCCTTACAGCAGATCTTCATTTGTGTTCAACTGAGGAATTCCTGGCACTGTTGCAAGTTTTATTTAGCCTTACATTTATTTTACTGAACCAAAGTTGCATCTGTATGTCAGCAGTAGGGGAATAATCAGTTACATTTTGTTTTGTGATTTCACTGGACAAGATTGCAAGTCCGGAAAAAGTGATAGACTGGCAATTTGGCAACTGTCTGTTGTGTGCTGGAGAGAAACTTGCATGTAACATACGCAACAAAAAACACTTTACAATACAACTGCACTAATAATCCACAGATAATCATGAGTTAAAGGACAACTCCAGCGCAAAATGAACCTTTGGTCTAATTACACATTGTTACCTAGTCAACCGATATCTGAGATTTGTTTTCATGATTGCCGAATGTAAATAGTTTTATCTCTAAAAACAGTTTAGCCTATAACGCTAGAATAATGCTAGTAGATAGGGCATAGAGTAATGACAAATAAAAATCGCTTGTTATTACCACTAACAACAAGGCTCAAAATAGCCCCACACAAATATTGTAGCATAATCAGGGTCCCTACATTCAAACCGAAGCATTGAGAACTTTGTCAGTGTCCAAACAGTTTAATAAGAAGATTTTTTTTACACGCAATCAACTTCGCGAATACAGGAAGAAGCCATCTTTGAAAAATAGTCTCTACCAGTCGATCTACGAATACCGATCCATGTGCGCTGGTGAGATGTGAATAAGGTGATAAGGTGAGCGCGAACAGTAGGCTACGTGTACATATTGAAGAGAAGAAAACAGTTCGTGTTTGTGTTTCTTCCGGAAACAACGGACCATATGAGATTCTGCACAGTTCAGCGCACTTGGATCAGCGTTCGTAGATCGATAGGGCTGGGTAAAAATATTGATTCATCAATGCATTGCAATTTTTTGCTTCTCAATTCAATATCGATTCATCAAATCCTATGAATCGATTCAGCCATCCAGGCCAGTGGCGGCGCTGTGGGCTACACTCTAGTGAGAGCGTTCAGCGTTGTAGAAGTCGCGCTTTAGCAAAACAGCGCGATGACGCACAGCAGCTGCACTCCGTTCAAGCAGGCGTTCAAGCCTGATTCAAGCCTGCACCAACATTAAAAGCCAACGTTTGGATTCCACTGTAACCCGGGAACTAAGGAAGCTTGTTTCCGCCACAGAATGGAAAATAAAAAAGTTAATTGTGACTTTTATCTCACAATTCTGACTTTTTTTTCTCACAATTGAGAGTTTACATCTCGCAATTCTGACTGTATTTCTCAGATTCGCGAGATATAAGTCAGAATTGCGACATATAAAGTCAGAATTGCGTGATATAAAGTCAGAATTGCGTGATATAAAGTCACAATTTCGTGTTATAAAGTCATAATTGTGAGATATAAATTATGCTAAGAGAGAAAAAGGTTAAAAAAAAGGTCTTTTTTTCCCCTTAGAATTGGCCTGATAACTCGCAATTGCTGTTAAGTGTGATCAGCTGTTAAGTGTTGTTGTTTAGATAATTATAATATAATATTAGACTTTTTTTGAGTATGCACATTTTGTGGTTCTGTTTACATTTCTTTTATAACTTGAATGTTTAGGAAGAAAGAAATATACTTTCTACAACTTAGTTACATGCACTTTAGAGGTGTTGTTAAAGCACTGTACAGTGCTTGTCACAGTTGTGTTTGTATTCAACACATACAATATTGTACAGTTTATTCTGCTGAATAAACCATGACAGGAAACAAACATGCTGGGGTCAATTTGTTCTTTAACAGTGGTAATACTGCGCACATTATTTAAAAATATACTCAGGCACTTAATTACTTGTGTATTTACTTATTATTGAATCGATATCGAAGCTAATAAATCAATATTGAATCGAATCGAATTGTGAAATACCTAACAATACCCAGCCCTAACTGGTAGAGACTATTTTTCAAAGATGGCTTCTTCCTGTATTCGCGAAGTTGACTGTGTGTATAAAATATCTTCTTATTAAACTGTTTGGATACTGACAAAGTTCTCAATGCTTCGGTTTGAATGTAGGGACCCTTATTATGCTATCGTGTTAGTGTGGGGCTATTTTAAGCCTTGTTAGTGGTAATAACAAGCGATTTTTATTTGTCATTACTCTATGCCCTATCTACTAGCATTATACTAGCGTTATAGGCTAAACTGTTTTTAGAGATAAAACTATTTACATTCAGCAATCATGAAAACAAATCTCAGATATCGGTTGAATAGGTAACAATGTGTAATTAAACCAAAGGTTCATTTTGCGCCGGAGTTGTCCTTTAATATACAATATGAGTCATGAAGAACTAAACCATTAATGATTACTGCATCAGCAACTAATAAAGAGTCTATATGATTAATAGATTAAGTAGCCTAATAAATGAATTGTGTTACATCCCTTTTAGTCTGTAAATGTGTTTTGCTGTTGTGGGAGGTATTTGTTGTTTTCCAGGAAGAAGACCGGATTGGTTCCTGCAGACTGATTGGTGCCACGCACTGATCAGTCAGCTGACACCTGGAAGTGTATAAAAGCTTCCTATTAATTACGTGTCATCATGTATTCCTTAACATATTTTATTGTCTTGTATTTTAAGGTCTTACCACTTCCCCTTCCCCCTTCCCCTTAGTTTTGCGTGTTCACGTGAGAGGAAGGGCTATCCTAAATCTCATTTTGATCTAGGGGTAGGGGTAAGGTGAAGGGGTATACCCCTTAAGACCAAGAATTTTTACGAGCTTACTTGAAACCAAGGGGTAACAATGGTGGACATACCATCCAGAGTTGAAAGTTTTTTAGCTGAAATGATTGATAAAAAATATAACCGTCTTGTTTTGTGCTCTACACAGTTATGTACATATATTTGCAACTATGTTGTTTATTGAAACGTTTTTTAAAGTTTTTAAAAATCGCTACTTTGGTACGCTAGGCTATGCTAACATTACATTGCTGATTTGAACAATCAGTCCCACATTTCAAGATCACCCAAAATGTCCG